TTATATAAATGGTTTTCCATATAGAAAGTTGCTTGTATATAGGGTTTATAGAGAGCAAAAGTATGGTATTATAATTATAGCGTTCCGTATTTTGTGTGTATTTTTTTTTTTTTTTTTTTTTTTTTTTTTTTTTTTTTTTTTTTTTTTTTTTTTTTTTTTTTTTGTATTTTGTTTATTTTTATATATAGCAAAAAGCACGATTTCCAAAAAGCAAAAATCGCATTGTCAAAAATTTGATTTAATTCGTAAGTTAATAATGGTAGTTCCTCTTTATCATATACATATACATACATGTATTCATTCCATTTAGACCAATAATGTGTGTAATTCTTGCATTATTCATATCAGTTTATTATGAATATATGTAATATATGGCTTTAGAAAATTATGGACTACACATACAAACATTATTAAATTTCTTTTCTTTGTTTTCTCCTTTATAAAAATAAACAAACATAGAAAATGTTTTTATGTATTTTGCAAAAGTTTTTAATTTTTAATATTTTTTTTTTTTTTTTGTTGATATGGAATTTTTTTAAGTACAAATACATAAATATAGGTACTATATAAGTATTTTATTAGTTCTTTTGTTATTAATTTATTTAGTTTCTTTTGTTTCATTTATGTGAAAGAATTTAAATGCAGTTTTACAGTGAATTACAGAGAGAGATAGAAGAAGGAGAGGGGGAGTAGAGTAATCTGAAGTATATATTTATCTTTGTTTATGGTTAAAAACAAATCATTGTATGCATGCTTTATATTTAAATACGCGCGATTTGGCCTACCAGGTATACTCGTACATTAACTAGTTAAGAATTATAACTCAACACGCGCTGCAAAACTCTCTGCTACAAACATCAGTCAATGTCAATACAATCACACAAACTCATACACACACGCACAGATACACACACACACACACACACACACACACACGCACATCCATATATGCATTCACACATTCACACACACACGCATGCACTGTCAACTGCTCTCACATTACGCATACGCACGGTTGTACAACTCTCTTGCAACATATAAACGAATTTGTTTAACAAACAGCTCTTAACTTTTATCGACTTACAATTTCTATTTAGTATTTTATTTATATATGTTTGTTAATATTACAATTATATATAAATGTGAGTGTGTGTGTGTTGGGCTAATATTTTGTCTAATGCAAAACTCTGCTGTGATTTCATTTGGTTGCTGCTTTAACTTCGTTCGATGTTGCTCGCACATTTACCTTTAGAACCGATCTCAGCTTGTATCTAACTATATTTGTTTAGTTATTTACTATATGCTTAAAACTAAATGTTTAAGAATCGTTCAATTATTTACTTTACTTGATTTTTGTTATATATTATGAATATATTTCTTGTGTTATTTTTTTTTCTTGCTATTTTATGTCAGCTTTTAGCTGGCAGCAAAATGAGCCAAACATTTAAATTCTTTATGCATGGTTAATGATTTTTTTCGTTTTGTTCTATACGTTAAATATTAAATATATATATTTATAGTTAATTAGTAGTTATTAAGTCATAAATTTAATATTTTTGTTGTTTTTTATTTTTGTTTTTGCTTTAAGTATTTGTAATGGAAGACATTTTTTATACAAGTTTAAGACACAGAAAATATTTTTTTTTCATTTTATATGTATGAGTGTGTATATGTGTGTGCTCATGTGAGTATATATATGTATGTTAACATGTGTGTGTGTGTGTGTGTGTGTTGAAAAAGTTGTTTAAATAGTTATTACTTTTGTTTTTCATTTTTGTTTGTTATTTGCTTTAGTAACTGGAACTCAACGTCTTTGCCAAATTAACAACGATATGTGAATTTCTAATTTATTTGAATAAGAAAAACAAAATTATATTAAATTAGTTAATGCTACGCACTCTTCGAATATTTAGTTGGATCTGCTCGAAAGCTCAAAGTAAAATATAAAATAATTCTTGTTTTTTCCTTTGGTTTTGCGATGGCTCTGCGGATTCATTTGCTTATATAATATTTGATACATATATGTATATATATACATACATATGTATGTGTCTAGTCAAAATGATGTTTTGTATAAAAATGTATATAAAATAAATTTCATTTTCTTTTGCAAAACTCATTTGTTACACGCATGCATATATGTTAATTAATTAATTTACTTAATATACATTATACATATACATATATATATATATGTATATATATACATATATGCATGCATGTATTTTATTTTTTTATTATTATTGTATTGCTGTTCAAAATTGGCTGCCATGCATATGTCTTCGATATGAACTGGTTTCGGTTGTTTTCATTTTTCAGTTTTGTTTTGTTTCTTTTTTCTGTTTTGGTATTTCAAGTCTTCTGTTTGTTCAGTGAATATGTTTTAATAATTTTCCTTGTGTTTTGGTTTTTGTTGTTTTTGTTTTGTAAAATACATAATACTCGATATTTGTGCGTACGCAGTTAGTGCAAATCATTAATTTGGTTTACATTTTGGTTTTCTTTTGAATTATTGAATTAAATGTTTTCGGTAGGAATTTTGTTCTTTCAAATACTTTCTTTCACTTGCTATTTACATAAAACTGTCTATGTGATATTTTATTTTTAATTAATTTCGTTTTCCTCTTTGCTAATGAATAATTATTTTATTTTCTTCTTAGTTTTTGGAAAATGGTAAATAAATAAGTAAGGAAATAAGTTTCAATTTCTTGTTCTACAAATATTTGATTTAAATTGTGTTTTAGTTTTGCGTAACTAATATTTAGCTAATAATTACTTTTGTCTAATTGTCAATGGAAATATAGTTTGCTCTTTCATTTACTCTTTTTTTTTTTCTTTGCAAATTATTGTCTACAAACATATAGATATATATAGGTATATATATATATATTAACTTTTTACGCTTTTCAACTGTTTTTGTTTTTATTTTAATTGTTTGGCTTCGCTTTACGTCATTTTGGAATCCATTTGAAATTTCTTGCACTGCTCGTAAAAAAAGCCTTAACATATTCATACTGCTGCTTGTGCTTCGTTTTAATCCCTTTCCTTCTGCTCTTTACCAACTCCTCATTTCAGTTAGCTAGATTTAGTGCACGTATCACGCATTGGCTAGCACAAACGTCACGCTGACCATCAGCAGGTGCGCCGCAACGAGGGAGGCGGACATGTGCAGGAGAGTGCTGCCACGCCCACATTGCTGTATCTCAATCTCTTCGGGATGATAGTTGATGCACTTCTTGGGACGACGACGCGACTCCTGCTCCTGACTCTGGCGACGCGTGCTGCAGGCTCCTATTCATCAATAAATAAATTTAATTAATACATTAACCAGCACCAAATTAAGATAAATCGGAAAACTTGACTCACCCACAATGCCCGACTCTTCCATGGGCTCAATGTCCAACTGCTTGGAGCCACAAGGACACAAAGTGTCCACGACGAGCAATATTAGATTACTATGCGGAATCTTTTGCACACTAAACGGACGTTCACAGCCCGAAACATGGCAATTGGTAAGTTTACCCTGAATAAATTTAGGAATATAATATATAAAGTTAGAACAAATAATGTTTCATACTGAAATTGGACTAACACGACTAAAGAGCTAATGATATTAAAAGAATCGGCACTTAGATATGCCGTTCAACATTAAATATAATGAAAACGAGTGTTGTATAACGCTTAAAGCAGTTCAGCTTAATAATATGGAAATTACTATGAAACTTTAAAGTGCTTACACTTTGCTAAAATATTATCACATAATTGTCATGATTTAGAAATAATGTCATTTAAATGGAATCACATTCCTTAAACACATACATTATACAACTTCAGCCTTCATTGCTAATCTAACCCATAAACTCACCTTGAGTGGATTATTTTGGCCGCCTTGATTCAAGCGTTCCGGTTGCAACATATAAAGATCGGTGCGTAAATCGCAACGGCGCGCATTTTGCGGATCGGGCGCGAATCTGGGGCCGCTGTGTGGCCTATGTTGCTTGGGTGGCGGTGTCGTATATTCCTAAGATACAGAATGGATCAGTATTAGTATATGCATATCAGGCTAGCTAAACTTGAAGCACTCACCACATCAGCTGTGGTAAAGAATTCATCCATTTCTTGATCCACCGGCATGGTGTATTCATTGTCGAAATTCTCTTCATACTCGTCCGAATAGTTATTTTCCACAAAGACTACGTCCTCATTGTCGTATGTCTCATAATCGTCCTGTGGCCAGGCGCGCAACGAGGCCGGCATCAAGGCTAGCCAAGAAGCGCTCAATGCCACCAAGTGCTGCATAATCCAGCTGCCAAATCGATGGGGCTGCACATTGCCACCAGCTGCCGTATAGGGATTATCCGAGTCGGAGCAAACGCCTTGATAATCATTGACTGTAACGCGCTTGTATATGCGATCCTGTACTAGTGAATCCATAATGGTGCCATCGATTTGCCCAAAGAATTTGCCCGTATGCTCCATTTCCTCAGAGATGATCACAAAGCCACTATTGTCGAGCACATAACAATCGAGATTGTCCGAGGCACAGGTACGCTTACAGCCCGTCATGCCAGTGCACTGCGAATGCAGATTGAGATTATTAATAGTCTACATCCATTTGACAGAGTTAAACAAGTTGCCTTACAGCTGAGGTTATATTGATGAAGTGCTTGGCCAGAGAATCGTGCTGAAACTGCAGACCCACAACCCCGGCGGGTGCCTTGTGTCCGCGATGCTCCACGAATATGGCGTGCGAGGCGGTGACCAGAGTCGCATTCGATTTGATGGCATAGCCCGAACCAAAGGGCACGCTGTAGACAAAGCTGTCCGGTTCCACAGTGTGCTGATCGACGGCTCGCTTATACCACGACGAGTCCATGGCGCGCACATTGTCCTCGCTGAAGTGACTGTAAACAGGAAGTAGAGATGAGCTACGTTACAATATTTGATTACTCTGATCTACTTACGGCTCTGGCGTATCCTCGGGTCTCTTGATATGATCGATCCAGCGCAAGAGACCCGATCGTGTCGCCACAAAGGATGTTGCCACCACGAACTTCTGATAGCCTTGCCTGCATTGCAAAAAGATAACCAAACATATATTAGAAAACAAATATGGATAGTTCGATCGGCTACAACTAGCGACTGCAGAGCTATACATCATTTCAACAGGGATTAAGGCTCCGAGCGTTTTCCTTGTGCTGGTTCCTCAAAGCGTTTGCATTTCTCAATAACTACGTGACTTGATTTGATTAAACACTTTTCATTTACCTCTTCAAAATTGCCATCAATGTGGCGATTGGACTAAAAGTTTATTTTTTATTTTTTTGGTTTTTTTTTTTTTTTTGCATAAATTGTGCATTAAAATTATGTTATAAATTGCATTGTAAATTAAAGTTATAAAATTATTGATGTATTGCGGAAAGAATATAGATATATTTTTAATTATATTTGATTATAAAGAGAAAAGTTTTGGTGGATGCAATCGAAAATATTTGCATTTCAGAAAATAGAGTGGGGGAAATATATGCAAGAGAAAATTTTTGTTGTGCTTTAGTGTTTGAAAATAAGTTTTTAAAGAATCTCTACAAAATTTAAAGTATTCAAAAATATAATGCAACCCAAATTTAAGTTTTAGTCCAAATAAATAAATTACAATGAGCCAGAACTGTTAAGTATTTTAAACAGCTTAAACAAAATACTTAACCAATATTTAAAACGTTTAACAATAAAAAAACAACTTTTTAATTTTAAAATTCTAATTTTAAAAATGTTGATATATTTTTCAACTATTAACCCATAACGGAAAAAGAAATACAAAAATAAACCACAAATTTGTTGAAAAAATAAAAAGTTTTTAAAATAATAACAATCCAAATAATAAAAAATTTTTTTAAGTAATTAAATATTTCTATAACAAAAAATTAGTGAATTTAATTAAACAATAAAAAAA